CTTTCAACAAAAGTGGGTTTTTTTTAAAATAAATCTGGCAAAATTTGCTACATCTAATTAGCTTTTCAGAATGTTTTAATTGTAATTGTGAATAGTCACCCAATAGTTGAGAATTGAGTATTACTGGATGCAAAAACATGTGTGAAAGCTTTTTGTTTTGGGAAAATCAGGACAGACTCGCAAGAATACCTAATTTGAAAGGGAGGAGCAATTTATTCTGCATGTCAAGAATGTTCTCATGGAAAATGCCAATCCGTCAACATCCTTTTTCTCACAAAGTATAACCTGTTATTCACATTGCAATTTGGTATTTTGCAATCCTGTCCCCATGACTGCAAGACAAAATGGTTTGATAGCTTGCCTTTTTTGTTATTTCTCTTCAATATTCAAATAAATCCATAAGCATTTAGTTATGATGGTGCCTCCATTCAATAAGATGTAGCTTTGTCATGTGTTTTTACAGTGAGATTGAACAGCACAAGAGTGGAAGTTCTTAATTCAGTTGGTTTCGTGTGTGTGTGATATTTTCATAAAGCTTGTGAAGTAAAAGCCTTCTTTGATTTCACAGATGTTTTAAAGCATAATATGAGTGTCAGATTGATGGCTGGGTGTATTTTCTGCATTCTGTGTAGTGCCTCAGTTCGATACTTAGAAGAGCAGTTACAGAATAATCCTTCCAAATTTCAGTCCTGTTCCAAGAGACACAGGGTGTTTTGCACTAATTCACTCTTGACATGGCCCAAGTCTTTGTGGACCTCCAAGCACATGCCGTGAAATCTCGGTATCATGTCAAGTTTAAATACATGTTCCATGATTATGCTCAGTTGCCAGCAGATATCAAAGATTTTGGCTGTATGTTCAATAATGAATGATGAAAAGCGGCTCTTTCCAAGTTTTCAGGTCCATAAAATGAAAAGAGGACAAACCATTCATTCAACAGAGAATTCATATAAAAATAGGTCCAACTTGTGTTAATGATGAGGGAGATTCAAGAGATTTTAGAGCAGGTTTCAATTGTCGTCTGCATATTTGTTTAATTTCTTTTACTTTTGAAAGGCTCCCTGTCTAATCCTGTCACTTGAACTTCCTGCCGTATGTTGCCACTGCAGTCTGTTCCTGTTGCTATCCCAAGGTGCAGCTGCTACTGTCATCCCTTTTTTTGCCTTGTGACTTCAATCATCTCCACATTTTTAATTGGATTGTATCTATCTGTACCTTCTGTCGGGTCTGCCATGTGTGCACCGTTGCCAGTAAATAGACTTTAAGAGCAATTAACCATTTGACACCACCACAAGGTAGTTTAAGGTTAGCGGAGGGTTTTACATTCAAGGCACTATTGACTGCTAAACTGATCATCGACTAATCTGGTCTTCAGTCTCCTGCAGCTTGGCCCAAAAATGACTTTGACACCTGCAGCAGTCACACTGCTGAAGAAAATCCAATGTTGGACTTGGGGTTGAATGAAGTGCTGTGAGTTAGTCCTCACAGCCAACTGACAGTGCTCACCAAACAGGAATCATAGAATGTCCACAACACCTTGTCTGCCCTTCAATCCATCTTAAACACCACCAGGGAGGACACTTTAGGTTGCTCTGCCAGGAAGCATCAAGACTGTTTGGCAAGAATAACCAGGAGATCCATGAGCTACGACTGGAAGCATCATCAAACTTTCAAGGAAAGAAACCCAGTCTACAGTTCAGAAAAATGAGTGAGCTCATTCTGTCATACACAATTCTCTCAGAAATCTATAGGACAGATGCAGGAACAGCTACTTCACTGAGCTGAAGTTCTCAAACTTGGAAGCAGAACAAGGGGCCAACCATTTAGGACCGGGATGGGAAGGAATTTCTTCACTGACGGCGTGTTGAATTTTGTAATTGTCTGTCTCAGTAGGCTGTGGGGGTTCAGTTGCTAAGTATGCTAGAGCCTGAGACTTATAAATCTCTAAATATTAAAAACATCAAAAGTTACAAGGCTGGAAAGTAATGTTAAAGTAGAAGATCAGCCATGATCTCATGGAGGGTGAGGTGGGCTTGAAGGGCTGATTGGCCTATTCCTCCTCTTTCTTGCATTCTTGTTTTTTTTTTCATTTAAGACACTCCCTGGATCCTGATGGATATCGTCCTAGGGTTTTAAAAGAAGTAGCTAGTGAAAGATTTGTTGTATTGGCTTTAATTTTCCAACTGTCATTAGCTTTGAAGAAGGTTCCATTAGATTGGAAAATAAAGAATGTAACTCCTCTAGTCAAAATGGGGGTGGAGGTAAAAAGCAGGAAACTACATTGCAGCTGGCTTCACGCCTATAATATGGAAAGTGTCTGAAGCTATGATTAAATGTATTATAGCAGGGCACTTGGATAAATTTAAGGTCATCGGACAGAGCCAACATAGTTTTGTCATGTTTAGCTAATTTATTGGAGTTCTTGAAGTAACTTATGTTAAGGATAAGAGGAACCAATGTACGGATTGTACTTGGATTTCTGGGAGGCATTTGATCAGGTCATGCATCAAACGTTATTATAGAAAATAATCGCACATGGTGTTGGGGTAGCATTGGCATGGATAAAAGATTGGCTAACAGGAAGCAGAATGTAGGAAAAATTGGGTCATTTTCAGGCTAGTAGAATGTCACAAGTGTTTGCCACAGGCTTAGTGCTGGAGCGTCAACTCTACAATTCATGTGAATAATTTGGATGAAGGAATTGAATTTGCTGATAATGCAAAGATAGGCAGGAAAATGAGTTGTGAGGAGAATAAAAGGAGCCTACAAACACATACTAACCTCATCCCGCCCCCTTGACCTGTCTGTCCTCCCTGGACTGACCTATCTCCTCCCTACCTCCCCACCTACACTCACCTTTATTGGCTCCATCTCCGCCTCTTTGACCTTTCTGTTTCCTCTCCACCTATCTTCTCCTCTATCCATCTTCTATCCGCCTCCACCTCTCTCCCTATTTATTTCAGAACCCCCTTCCCCTCCCCCATTTCTGATGAAGAGTCTAGGCCCGAAACGTCAGCCCTACTGCTCCTATGATGCTGCTTGGCCTGCTGTGTTCATCCAGCTCTGCACCTTGTTGTCTCAGATTTTCCAGCATCTGCAGTTCCTACTATCTCTGATACAAACAGATATGGATAGGTTAAGTGGGTAGGCAAAGACCTGGCAAATTGAGCTTAATGTGGGAAAGTGTGTAATTGTCCATTTTGGCTGGAAGAACAAGATAAACTATCTCAGTGGTGAGAGGTTGTAGAGTGATCTGGGTGTCCTGTTACGTGAATCGCAGAAGGTCAGCATGCAGGTACAGCAAGTAATTAGGAAAGCTAATAGAATGTGATGTTTTATTGTGAGTGGAATTGAATGCAAGAGTAGGGAGGTTATGCTTCAATTACACAAGGTATTCCTGTGACCGTGTCTGGAGTACTATGTACAGCACTGGTCACTTTGGAAGGATTTTAATGCATTGGAAACAGTTCAGCGAAGGTTTACTGGACCAATCCTTGAAATGAGCAGATCGCTTTGAGGAAAAGCTATACAGATTAGGCCTGTGTCCTCTGGAGTTCGGAAGAATCAGACCCGACTTCATTGAAACATACAAGATCCTGAGGGCACTTGACCGGGTGGATGAGGAAAGGATGTTTCCTCTTGTAGGAAAATCTAGAACTAGGGATCATAGTTTAAAAATAAGGGGGTGCCCATTTAAGAGAGAGATAAGGAAAACTTTGTCTTTTGGGCTTGAGAGTCTTTGGAATTCCCTTCCTCCAAAAGGCAGTGAATGCAGAATCCTTTAAATTTTTTTTTAAGGCCAAGGTAGATAGATTCTTAATCACCAAAGGGATGAAAGATTATTGGGGGAATGCAGGAATGTAGAGTTGAAGTTAAAATCAGCTCAACCATGATTCTTATTGAATGGCTGAGCAGGCCTAAAGGGATGAGTGTCCTACTGGATGTGTTCCTTGTTCGTATGTTCATATATTCCTGAAAACGCACCTCTTAGATTCCAGTTTTGCATACCTGTCAGAAAATATTTTTTTTTGTAACTCCTGTGTTAAACTTTCATTTACTGATACTCCTGTTTAATGGCTGGAGATGTTTTGCAATATTAAAGATGGTGTAAGTTGATGCTGCCTTGCTGCTGGACAGAGACGTACTAGTGTTATTTATACCAGACAATGGGAAGGGAGTTTCATAACAAAACGGAACATTGTCCAGAAAATGTGATGACCAGGTGTTATAGGAAATAGATTACCAAGTAATTAATGGAAGAATTTTTAATGCTGTGCACATGACTTTTTATGTCATTTCTTACACAGTGGAAACCAGGTGACCTGTTTGGGGGACCTTGCCTTTTTTTTTAAGCATTGGAAGTTAGATTCAAGTCTTTTTGCCTGCATTTGATGATTTTAAAAATATGGACATTTTTCACCTATTTGAATGGAGGAAAACCATATCCAGGTCTAGTTTCACACTTTTATGGAACAAGGCAGCATTTGGGAGGTTCTTTCAGCATAACAGTAGAAAGGCAAAATGTTAATTTTGTTTTAAACAGCAAGGGCCAGGAAGGCATGGAGTGAAAACTGTTCCATCCAGTTGTGGTGCAATATTGGACATGAGAAGAGGGTATAAGATAAATACTGGCTTAATTAAATTTTTCCTTCTGACGGTTTGCTAAAACTGTTGTCCATCTAGTTTTTCTGGCTTAAAAAAGTGCTCTGCTTTTTGTAAAGGGCTTTCTGTGTATATAGCTGCCTCACCGAAAACCAAAGTCTGCCCCTCAGCTGCTTCTGGCATTAACAAAGTACTTATTCCTTATTCTCTTCCTGCAGCTCTGTCCTTTATCCTGTCTCTCTGCATCCCATCTTTTCCCAATAAAAATTAAAAATACTTTGTCTGGTGGGAATATGGTATTGATAGCTGTGTAGTTAATTTAACTTTGTTGCTACGAATGATGCAGATATATTTTACAACTATATTATGTTAATTATATTTCATTTCCTACATTGCAGATGATCCTATGGGACTGGGACTTGAAACAATGGTTCAGAAATTATCAATATCAGGTGAGTATCAAATTTGAAGTAATATGTACTCTGCTGTATGATTATATAATACTTTGAGAATAGTTTTATATTTTGAATAAGCAAGTCCAATTTTACATTTGCTATTCATGTTCTGACCTTCTAATGTTTCATGCAATGTTTTCAGTTGATAATTGTAAGCTAGGAAGAACAAACAGTTAGTTGAGACTAAAGTAGAACAAACAACTGCGGGTGCAGATGATCTAATAGAGAAACAGAAACTTTTGGAGAAACTCGGCCTGAATTTGAAAAAGGTCACTGGACTTGAAACATTAACTCTGCTTTCTCTCCAGAGATGCTGCCAGATCTGTTGAGTTTCCGCAGCTGTTTTTATTTTTGTTTTGGTTAATTGAGATAGCTGGATATGATTGACTGAGAGCAAGGTATGTGTTTTATGGGATAGATTTCTCTGCCGTTTTAGTTTTTTTGTTTAACGTGAAACAATTTCCATTTCCAACTACTTCTGGAAAACACTTCAAACAGAACGCAGTTGGAAGTGATGAAAATTTTCAATCACAGGTAACCTAATCTGAAAATCCTGACATTTTTCTTTTAATCACTTGTTTTGAAACCAGGAATAGTCTTTTCATGTTTAGAAATTACATGAGATCATGCTTTTTTAAATTCATCTCATCTGTGTGCTGCACTTCTACATTGTTGTAGAATTCTGTTGTATACTACTTAAACTATAGTTTGCTGACTTCTGACACTAATTAGTACCTTAATACACTGATTGCATTTCTAACTTCAGTGGGTAGATGTACCATGGTGAATTAGAAGGTGCGTCTGTTATAGTACAGCTTCTAACTCCTAAAACTACTCTGTCTCCATTTTTCAACAGTCAGATTCAATATTTAGCCCTCTTTCTATCTTCCTACTTGCATGTTATTTCTATGCTGTCTCTTCACTCTCCTGCCCAAACAAGACTCGTGCCTGCGTCTGTCTGTCCTTCCTAAAGATGTAAAACATTTTGATCAAAAACAATCAGCTTAAAATTGTGCTCTTGGTTTCCAAAAAAGGATTTGAATTTTTTTTTCAAATGACTGCAAATAGTTGGCTTTTTGAATTTTCCCCATGCATGTTTTTGAAGTATGGTCTTTACGTTTCTGTTTACTGCTTGTATTTTCTCACTGTTTCCAGTTTGACCTTTTCCTCCTTACTTTGAGATTCATTTTTTCTTTTCTGGAATATTTTCTTCCTTCCTCATTTTTCCCTTTTGCTCGCTGCCTGTTAGTTTTCATAAGATTTTCACTGTGTCTTCATCTTTTTACTTCCTTTTGTTGATGTTTTTGTCATTTGGTTTCTCAATATTTTTCCCCCCTCTGGCTGTTTATCTTTGTTTTCTGTATTCTACCTCTGCCATTAGGCTTGTCGAGGTTTAATGTTTGCAATTTTCTGCTGCACTTCTTCCTTCTCAGGTCCTATCCAATGGCTGCAATTTTTTTTTGTAGCTCATTTTAACATAAGCCAGAAAACACACAAACTGACTTTCAAAGCTGTAGAAAAAGGTTCAGAAACTATATAAATAAATAATACAAAAATACAGAACCTACAAACAAAAAATAAGTAAATATTAGAATTGATAATGATACTTGTATGTTATTTGACAAAAGCAGCACTGAGCTTCTGTTGGAGAGAAGGTATACATTTACTTATTTCTCCTGTGCTCCTTCCAACATTATAGTGGAACTTTATAACACAAATGGCTGCTCATCCCATTTTACTTTTAGTAGTTCTCTGAAAGTTATGCATTCAGTTCCGTATCTTGCTCTTTCACAATACTTTCCTTATTATTAATTATTTTCTCAAATTTACATTCATTGAGTGAGCTATCTGCCAAAAACAATCCAAGAACTTTGCAGAGAGAGCAGCATTGTGGATTTTTCTGAAGTTTGAGTCTTTATACTGGAGATTATTTCTACATCTGGATACTTTGCATACCACCAATGCAAAGAAACAGTCTTCTGCTTGGAAGAAGCAGGGAGCATCATCAGGCCAGCAATGAGTCACATTTTTTTGTATACAAATGTCCCAACAAACAAGCTAAAGGAAGGAGTTGACAGCATTTTGAAATTGGAAAATACTGCAATATAGAAGTCAGCAGCTGGTATGGTTCCTCATATCTTCTACTATCAAATGGTGCTTTCTCACTATGCCTATTTAATGATTAATTGAAGTAAACAGATAATTCCCATTGAAATTTACAGGCTGTACTTCCATAAGTATAAATTATGTGAATTTTATTTTTGATGGTGCATAATTTGGTTGATGAGTGACTTCTTTCTGTATCTTGTGTATCTAGTGTTTACTATAAAGGATGGGGAAAATACTAAAATGAGTAGAAAAGTTTTGGGTCTGATTGACACAGAATAAATAATTAACAAAGAAAATTACCAGTCAGCAAGGATAAAATCACAAATTAGTTTGAGTCTAGATCTAAGCACTGAGAGGATCCATTGTTTCTGCCCATCGTGAGATGGGTATTGAGGATTTGCAATGTACTGTGTGGGGGGTGAGTCTTCACTTAACTGGGACGGAAGTCATGGCAATCTTGTGACAAGTTATGGGATCTACGCTCACTCGGAAAGACTGATCGTGTTCAAAGTCCTGATTTGTGGTGTCAAGGTCAAAATGTAGCTTAGTTGGTAGTGACAGGGCACAAGTCTGAGTGCCCAACTTTTGGCGTTTGGTTTGACTTTATTCCTTCCTCGAGCCAGCTGCCTCCCCTGTTCCCTTTTGTTTTGAATACGGTCAGCTGAACCATCAATACATTGTACAGAGAACTCCCTCCACTGCACACTTCCTTATTCCCAAACTTGCAGGGACTGATAATACTTTCAATACAGGGCCCAAAACTGCTCATAATATTCAAAATGTGACCACAGCCTTGTACAGCCTCAGCAGTACATCCCTGCTCTTGCATTCTAACCCCCTCAAAAGGAATGCGAACATTACATTTGCCTTCCTAACTGCCAACTGAATCTGCATGTTAACCTTAAATGAATCCTGAACTAGAACTCTGAAATAACTGCAGAGTCTGGTGTCCCATTACCAAGTCATCCTTTATTTACTGTAGCACAGTACACTGTCGCTGGCTGGCTGGCCGGCCGGCTCAGAGTTGGTCCTCAACTGAGGAGATTCTAATCTCTTGGTTATATTGGTCAGCCAAGGCTTTCCTGATTGGCGCAGATTAACAACGCCAATCAAGAACCTGGTAGTTAATGAGGTCCACCTGGTTCTAATCATTACAGACCCGGAGCACAGTCACTGAGGATTCCAGTATACAAAATGCACCATTCTGGTCTGCAATCATTTGTTTAGATAGTTGTTCACTAATGAGCTCATAGTCTCCATATATTTCCAATGCCACCATCTTCACTATGTTACTATGCTGTTGCTCATCGTCTATCTGTGTGCAAAAGGACTTGCGAGTCTGTAATGATTAGAACCAGGTGGACCTCATTGAATATTATGAGCAGTTTTGGGCCCTGTATTGAAAGAAGAATGTGCTGGAATTGGATGGAGCCCGGAGAACATTTATAAGAATGATTCCAGGGATGAAAGATTTATCATTTGAGGAACCGTTGAGGACTCTGCATCTGTTCTAGATGGAGTTTAGAAGGATGAGGGGGGGATCTGATTGAAACTGACAGCATATTGAGAGGCCTGGATAGAGTGGAAGTGGAGAAGATTTTTCCACTGGTAGAAGAGACTAGGACCTGAGGATATAGCCTCAGGGTTAAGGGATGATCCTTTAGAACTGAGATGCGGAGGAATTTGTTCAGCCAGAGGGTGGTGAATATGTGGAACTCATTGCTGCAGAAGGTTGTGGAGACCAAGTTATTGAGTGTACTTAAGACAGATAGGTTCTTCATTAGTAAGGGATCAAAGGTTACAGGGAGAAGGCAGGCAAATGGATTTGAGAAACAGAGCCATGATCAAATGGCAGAGCAGACTAGATAGGCCAAATGGCCTAATTCTATGCCTTGTCTTATTGTCTTAAACCCACTGAGGTCTGTTATTCACTTTACTTACTTTGACAGGGCCATTTCCAAATAATCTTTTTCCTTTGTATTTACTTTGTTTTTGAAGAAATAACAGTGCTCAACAACATGAATCGTGAAAGGTAGATATTTGGAATTTAGAGGAAGGATGCAAGTTTAAGTCTATTGGGGTTGGTGCTAGGCTTTGGTATCACAACTAGAGTAGAAGGCACGGTGTTAAAGCACTACACTGGGACTGTGGGGTTTTGCAAATCTGTGAGGTAGAATATATGGTTTGGCTTCGTCTTGGATTGCCGGTTTCTGTTAGCATGAAGGAAAAGTGAGTGGAAGGGCATGATTGGTTTTGGGGATATTAGATTTGGCACTATCAATGTTTAATTTTCTAAGATTTCTCTATAAACATTGAGTTTGCAGATCTGTTGATTTTTGGTTTTTGTTGTGCATCCTACTTCTAGAACTTCCCCTTTCTCTCTATTTTGCTGTTTTTGTCTTCCTTGTTCTGTCTTTCTTTAACTTTTCTAACTTAAAACACAAACAAAATGCTTTCTCCCAGTTACATAATTTCCTATGAATTCAGAAAAAAAAGACACCATATTTCCCACATTATGCTCCATCTGCTAAATATTGTCCGTTCTCTTAAGCTATCTATACTGACTCCTTGTGTCCTCTTCACAACTTGCTTTCCCATTTATCTTTATATCATCTGTAAATTTGGCTGGAATACAGTTAGCTATAGAGCCATACAGCATGGAAACAGATCGTTGAGGTTGGTTGGCTCGCCGAGCTGGTTTGTTGTTCCGCAGACGTTTCGTTACTGTGCTTGGTAACGTCCTCCGTGCAGCCTCTGATGAAGCGTCGGTGTGTTTTCCCACCTGGCTTTTAAACTCTGGGATCCGTTGCGATGGATTGCCTCACCTCTGGGTTTCCTCCGTAGTGGAATGTATATGGGGTCGAGTTCAATGTGTTTATTT